ATTTTCCATAGTTTTTTCTGTCAGCACCATACGACTGCCAAAACAGTACCCTAACAAACGAGGCACGGACCATGGGCCAGGCGCGATCTTTCCTTACTCTTCCTTGTCCTTTACTCTCCCCTTCGCCCTTCCCCCACTCACAATACCAAACACGTCGGGAAACCAAAGCCTGTCTCGGCCGGACAATGCCACTCTGGAGGAGATACCTTGAGGAGATACCTCTCCATCTATCGATGGCGGAACACCGTCACCTGCCGGGATATTACATACACATTCCGCACTGGACTAATGGCCTTAGCAGCTGACGCGCCTGGCAACACCAATCAATGAACCGATAGACGTTAGGTTCACCCAGTATAATATCAGGTGTGAGAAATGCAGTTTTTCTGAGAACTCTGAATTTTATAGTGTTATTATTTTCCTAAATGATGATGTTCGAAGGACTAATAACTTTCACATAGGTCCAATAGTGAGTAAATTTGTATTTTACTTCTTTAATCACGAAAAGCAGGGCTTATGTGTGACTTGGTTTTTTATTTGAGCACATACGGAGAGATGACGTTCCATATCTGACATTTAAATAATTTCGGCTTTAAAGTAATTGTAGAAGAACAGTCATCTACAGTTAACTCCGTTGCATTTTCGTACGCTGTATTATTGAAAGGCATTTAGTAGTTAATATCGACAATATTCATAAATTACTATGTAATTACTGTGTAATTACTATATAACAACTTCTAACTGAAGGTTAGAAGGAATTCTTAATCGGATCGGATTCTCTTTAAAATACATCAGTGAAATATGTTTTTATCCAAAAAATCCTATTCGAGGAAAATAAATTGATTGATTCTTTTGTATTTCCGGACGCGTTAACTCTTATCATTCATTAGCCCCGTAAGTGAAGCGCATGTTATATTCTTGGAAGCGGCGGTGTTCCTCTGCAGAATGTGAGATTCGGTCCCGACCTACACGACGGCTTCCGGCGTTTCCCTCTTCCTAGTACCTCTCCGCCAGCGGGACATCCTCTCATCCGGGAGGAGCTCGCACATCCCGACTTGTCTCCAGACATCAGCTTGTGAGGGAAACGATGCGAGGAGAATAAGGAAGGAAAGATAGCGTGCGATCTGTAGCCTGTTTTAACTTTTTCGTTACTGCTTACGTAGTATAAAGAAGGCTACAAATACGGCGAACTTTTGACAGAAACACTCTTAATGCCTCTTATTAACGAAAAAGTAGATAAATATTCTTCCTATTATAGTAAATTACTTCCTCGAACACGTTGTGTAGTCAGAATCATGTTTTGTGGGACCTTCAAAACGAAAAATCGATTCTGGCGTTCTGGGAAGAACGTTGGCGGCTAAACCTTACGCAGGATGTTCACCAAAATTGATATTTCCCAATCGATGTGACACATAATTTGCCCTATAATTTGTAGGGCACACCTGCTGCATTTTTCTGGTATTGACAGGCGACACCACTACAAACTACTGACCGGAGGTCGCTTCTTGACTTATCGTCTAAATTTGACCTCGCTATCTAGCCGCCGTCTAGCCTAGAAATAAACAGTTGCTTTGAAAACTTGATACTGCTGGTGAGTGGAGAAGAAATACTGTCCATTGAAGACTCATCTCAAGAAGTTGTTAACAGCTCCTTTTTTTCGTTTTTTCTTTCTTCATGGGTGTTTACTGAAAGGTATTACAGGGTCGTGTATATAGCCTTGACCTTTTCCTTCAGAACTTTATTACATGAAATTATAATTAATGTTTCTATGTCGCTCTGGCTAAGTGAAATACTTTTTTCTGTACAACTGTTATGCTGCGACACTTATGCGGGAAAAGTGTTTCTCAAGGCTGAATTAAATTAGTTTAAGAACTGCTTACAGTCTACAGATACAGTGTACACTGTAATAATTATTGTGTGTTTTTATGGCATCCATAACGGGAGATATAAATACTTCTTTGAAATTATGCAGTTGACAATTTATTCTTTTAAAAAAATTATTTAAGTAGCTTTTTTAGGTCACTTTTTAACAACTTGGTCATATAGCGACCACTGTGATTGATTTAACAATAAGGGTAACTGTAGGACGAACACGTAAAGACAACAAGAACACACACACAAAAACATCCATGCCGGAGGCGGGATTAAACCCTCGACCCTTCGAACCGAAGCAGCTACGACCCTTCAACCTTAGTGACCTCGGCTATCCAGGTGGGATAATATATTCAGTGTTTCAGGAAAGAAAATATTTAACGTTACTCAACGTGATCTTTTAGCAGTTGTATTTTTCAAATTACGTATTTGACATGGTATTCAAGAAATTTAGATCTACTATACCACACATTCACAAACAGGATTCTGATATTAGTTCGCTACAATCTTCCCATGAATTAATCTTTTGCCATTAAGCTTGGATTTTAAAGAATTTTTTTACTATTTTCCATTCACGAAATATTCTACGGAAAAATATTTTTTGAGCCACCTAAACCACTGAATTTATTTCATAATAAAGAATTGATTAAAATAAGGAAATGTAAGTTGTATTTCATTTCATCATAAAAATGCATTCCTACCAATACACGACGCCGCTATAGAATTTCAGGGTCGTTCAGTTCTCACAGATTGAAACACTGCGAATCTTACGGGCCCTGATGTACATTACGAAATTTCAAATCTCATATTATCGTACTAAGAGGCCTGTAACAGTGACTATAGATCGCTGAACTCTACAATATAAATCATTCGTATTTGATGCAATTAAAAATCTTACACTGTTGCAAAACTTAAAAAGCCGTAATATTTTATATGTAATTTAGCACATTAGAAGCTGGTCGATATGAACATTTGAAAACAATTATTTCAGATTGGACACATTCAAATCAATAACTCAATAATGCTAAGAAACATTATTTCAGAATGAACTCATAAAAATAGAATAATGTTGAATTGTTTCTGACATCATTTTAAAAATATTGACTTATATACTATTTTTAGCAATTTATTGTAGTGACGTTTCTATCCTTATTGTTTTTTTAAAGTCTGGGTTCAGGAGTGTTGCTTCAGGGTGTTTTTTATCGCAAGATTGACCTTTTTAACCATTGTTTAATATAGGCAAAATTTCAATGACATGCAATTTAATGTTTTTTAACGTTTAAAAATGTTTGACAAACTTGAACCAAGAAAATGTGTTCGAAAAAGACTCCAATAACGGCTGAAGCGTCATAAACAAATTACAAAAATAATTGTGCTTTTTTAATAAAGCCAGAAACAATTTAACATGAAACAAACCAACAAATTGCAATTATTTACTCCAAAGCACGTAGCAATTGAAATACGACATAAGAATGGAACAACAATTCCCATTAAGATCTAAGCAGTTTCGTCGTACATTCTCCGTTAAATAATTGCTACTTAGGACGAGAAACCCAAACCAGCCAACCAAATTGAAAGGGGTCATATTCCTACCGGAAATTTGTTAAGTGCTCGCACGTTTTCTTGAATTCTCATTTCGCAAGATACTAGAGGAGTGAGGGATTTGGCTATGTTGACGACAGTACTATGAAATCAAACATGTGGCTCATTTTTCGATGCAAATAGTTTCTAGTACACGAGAGTGAAAATGCTTTTTTTATTCAATAGTCGTCTACAACACTCATTGCAATGGTTTGTTAATAATAGAAATATGCATTGCAAAGGAGAAGAGATAGGGTTTCTGGAGGTCAAGAAAACGTGCGGGAGTAATTTCATACTAACTCGCGTATTTGCGGCAGAATTGTCATAACTCGAAATTCCTCTTTGTTGGAAAACACTGGGGATCTCAAGCTCTTGTCTGAAAATGAAGGTGTGTTGAAGGTCTCATACTTAATGAACCACAGTTATGTTGATGGTGCCCATATATATTCCTGCATAAACTTACTTCAAAGTTGCCATCTAGAAAATACGACACGTTGTTGCAGCGAACGAGCAAATCATATCATTATCTTCGTAAGTCCGAGTTTCGTACAGGAATCCAAAGTCCAACCCACAAAATATAAATGGTAGCTGATCCCCCCCCTCCATTGTTACATGAATGCGCAAATGTTCTCCAGCAATGATAAAGCTAGAAGTTAAGCTAAATTGAGCGATTTAGCAAAGTAATTTTGTTCATTGGTATGATATTATCATACACCAAATATTTACATCAAGAGAATATAGTGCAAGCTACGAAGAGCCATTTAGAACCAATAATGCATGATCTTAAAATGTCAATGACGACACCGTGGCAAATCATGACTGACGCAGCAAATTAATCGCATCATTCACTCTGAATTTATTCTGAGTGAATTTATTCTTATACGAGCCGCGTTCTCAGTATCGGCTGCGATTAAACAGCGGCAACTGTTACGACAATCAAGACAATAATATTCATGCCATTCTCTCGTGTTTCAGCGACGGAACCGGAAACAAAAGCATAGCAACTGTCCCAGCAACCCAATGAATAATTCCGTCCGCAACATCTACTCTTAGTAGATTGTTCCATCCACGAGGAAACTGGCAGCAACTCCAGCCACTGCACAACGAATAAACGAAACGTAGCACTCACAACGTCATTCAACGTTTCGTTTACAAAACAACAAAAACATGACACATCTTCACAACGTCGGCGATTGAGCTCGAAGGAAAGCATCTTACCATTAAATAGCATCGGAGGTGTTCACGGCCAGAGTCAGTCGCTAGCCACCGTCCCGGGTCTTGTACTTCAAGTTTTTTAACATGGCGTTTGACGTACATCAGCTGTTGACGGTGTCATCCAATCGGGAGCCTAAACGTCACCACAGTGACGCCGCCGTGATGATGTTCAAGCTCCCGATTGGATGACACCGCAGCAGCTGCTTTACGTCAAGCCCCACGTTAAGAAATGGAAGTATACGCCCGAGAACCCGCCGCCACTGAAAGTGACGACCGCAACCGTGGTCAAAGCGTGTGGCCCTTGGACCGCGGCCCGCAAACAAGACTTAATCCTAACACTCATACCGTGGTGCGGCAGCGGCCGGGCGAAAAGGATACTTCCACTCCACGAGGTCGATGCACAGCTTGCGGATGGGGTTCTTGAGGGTGAGGAGGAAGAGCGCGCGCTGCGGCCGGTCGGGCGGGGGCTTGCCGCCCCGCCGCACCGGCCGTTTCTTGTTGGCGCTCATGGCGGTAGCACTGAGCGCGGTCTGCCACGCGCTGGAGAGCGGTTTGTCTGGCGCGGTGCTGGCCGAGGTGCTGGCGGCCCGCCCCGCCTCATGCTGCGCTCCTGCAACACATGCGACAAGAAGCGCGTTAGCGCGCTCGCCACGGGTCGACCGCCGCGTCGACCTCCACGTCGACTTTGGCGCGCGCGCGCGCTCGGCTGCGGTCGGACGAGGAGGTCCCGCCCAGCGAACTGATTGTGCTGCGATGCGCTGAAGGGAAACGTGAAGGCAACACGACAACAGGTAAGGCTTCGTTTAGGGTCAGATCGTACTGCTGCACTACAGTGCTGTAAACGGTACCCTCGACCATGACCTTCCACTCACAGGAACATGCATTTTCAATATCCTCCACTGTATGAGCAAACCATTATCTGTTGGATCGATAGCAATTTGTTGGTGTACGTGATCAACACTTATTTTTACAACTATATATTAATTATTAATGATTGATGTTGAAGAATGAATGAAGAAATTAATTATTAATGTTAAAGATCGCACCTCACTGTTCTGGTGACGAAAACTAAGGGATTTTCTGCTAATGCAGTATAGTGAAAAATTGTAAAGCTGCTGATAGTAAACTGTGATTGTTAACATTTTTTGTCGTGGTGCGGTTACGAAAATCTGGATAAATCCTGTTGATAGAAAACTTTTCGGCCATTATTCTAGGAACAGATTCAGGAATCAGATATTGCACATGTGACAGTTAGCAATCTTTTGAATTTCCAAATTACGTCATTTCGTGAACAAATTCATTCCCATCATCATGTTAGTAACAACACATTGCACATCAGTATTGTACATTCTGTTTAATAAAAACAAACACATTAGGCGGTACCCAACACAAAAAGACCCGAAATTCGACTTTTTGTAAAATTATTCTTAATTCAACATCTATGAAGAAAATTAAATTAAAAAGATATTAACATTTCTCAAAAGTTGTTTCAAAATATAAGGCAGACCGTCCTAGTGGCCATGGCAGATTGACTTTTGGCATGACATATCAACTGCGATAAGGAAAATTTTTATACTGGTGCTCAAAAGGAAGCGAAAAGGCAGCTAAAGTCAAGGACAGGCAGCCTCTCAAAAATAGTGTCAATCATAAATATAAAAAATAATTAGAACTCAAAAACTAAACACTATCAATTACATTATTTAAAATTGCTCTATAAACTATCGTGAAGTCTAGTGAAATTATTTGACTCAATTTGTGGGTTGTAACAACTAGCAGTCTTTATAAAAAAAATCCGAAACCCTTGGATACCAGCTAATATCGTAGCATTCATAATATCTATTTTTGAGCAGAACTAATTCTGTAAGTACTCAGTGATTTTTGTTTACTACTTATTCCATTCACGTTTCTTTTTTGCTCCGTCAATCTCAATTTCAATATTCCCCGGTCTGGCCTATGTAAGATTGTGAACATTCTGCACATTCAATTTGGTGTATTAATCCTTGGTCGTCTTTCGTTTCATATTTCAGATTTTAATTCTGATTCATATTTTAATTACATTCCTTTTATTAGTTATTGTGATCACTAAATTAATATAAAATTTACTTTTTGATTCATATTTTACCTTGAAATTAATTAAGAGAGGAAAGTAAAGCAAATAAATGTGAAATTAATTTCTTCCCTCCAATCTAGCAGTTCAGAAACAGAACTACTATTCATAATTTTCTTGATCTACCATTTCACCTACTAATTAATAAAATGTGAATGTTAGTCTTTCATGCGGAGGATAGTTTTTACCTTTTCCAAATTTTAAGCATGAACATCTTGAGCTGTTAGTTTAATCACTTCATCTACAAGACTAAAACATTCTATTGATATCAACAAATCTATTATTTACACATGAAATTGACCATGGGATCCGAAAATATCTGCTTTGTAAACCAATTTGTTTGGAGAGCAATATATGATATCATTAATGTTTTATAAAAAATCGAATTCTTACTTTATTTATTCAGAGAGGGCAGTTAATATTAAAAAAGAAAAAAAGCAAAATATAAAAAATATAAAAAAGCATTAGGCATTCATACTTCAAACGGGGTTATGTTCAGATGGTCCAAGATCCGCATAGTTCTATGATGAAACTATTTTAGTATGTTAGTTTATTCTTTTTTAATATTGATTCTTCTCTTTGACATGACCCTGTTATAATGGACCTAAGAGATGCATATATATATATATATATATATATATATATATATATATATATATATATATATATATATATATATTTGCAGAAACCTCATTTCTGAACATGGGGATTTTCAACGAAATTACTTACACGCCATTAAAACATATTTAGTCATTGATATCAGATTGATCCACATTCCCTTATATTATCAAAAATGATTCATTCTCATTTAAATGTTGAATTGTGCGACTTTATAAAGACCATTAAATATATTTGCAAATTGTGTCATGAGGGTACCGACTATGAAAAATATAATGCAATACAAGGAAATTCCATAGGTGGATTACATTTGTACAAAACTCCACAATACATCGGCAGAAATGACTCATTTTGGAGAATTTTAATTTTTCTAATGCATGATAGTTACCCAGCTGTGATTCACATCTTGAGATTGGGAGATAATTTATTAAAAAGAAGATAATTCTTGTGTGGAAAAGATCTATGTCTTAGAACTCGTTTATTTTATGAAGTCTCTCTCTCTCTCTGTAACATTTGAAATCATTAAAAAAGAGGAAATTTAAAAAACGTGTTCAGGGTACACCTATTGTGGGTCACCTAGAAATTGTTTATGATGATGCTTCAGGCGAGGTGTAACTGTGAGTGTGAATCATTTTAAATGCTTCTGTTTAAGATCTACAATGTAAGTACAGTGCTCAGTTTTGTTCTGTAGGTAGGATTCGCTATCGGTTAGCTACAACGGCGAGTACTTGTTGATTGCCAAATTCTCAAAACCTGTGGGAAAAAAATTAAGGAAGCAATCCCAAAAGATATTTTTCAAAATTTAGGATGTTTTATGAATAGATCTAATTTTAATGATATGTTTACAACGAAGTCCTACATGAAATTGAAAGTGTTGATTTATTTGCTGGTGGCAGGATTTTGAGCAATTATGGATTGCCTGAACCAAGGGGAGATACCTACATAAATAGTAATATTGTGTGAAAATTAAATTATAGCGTAAATGATTTAAGAGTGGAAGTTGAGAATTTACATCGCAATTTTCCTGGACAATTAATTGCTTCCTTTGCAACGTTTTTCTGGATGCTCCAGGGGCCAGTGGGTAGACGTACCTTCTAAATCTTCTCTTTAAAGAAGTCGAGATAATAAACAAATAGTTTTAGCTGTAGCACCATCAGATACATCTACAACTTTATTGTTAGGTGGAAGAATACCTCATTCAGCTTTTAAACTGCCTTTTAATCCGGTAAATGCAGAATATCCTCTAAGCAATAGAAGCAAAAATTCGGAGATTAAAAGTTTTTCAGGGCACATTTTTTGTGTAGGATCACTATGTTTCATAAAAGAGCAGTCGAGTGCTTAGATAGAACTTAAAAAGGACGTAAAAAATCTGCAGTGAAATAATTGGAAGTTTTGTTGTGTTGCTTGCGGGTGACTTTCGCCCGACATTACTAGATATCCCAAAAAGTACTGCAGCTGATGAATTAACACCAAATGAGATAACATTTTTATAATGAATTAGCAGTAACCATTGTTTTTTATTTTAGAAAAATCCTCTTCGTAGTAGTATTATTGGTGCAACAAACTTCAGTGTGAGATGGTTGTACGTGCCATCAAATCAGTTTACTTTTTTGAAACAACGTATACAAAACTACATTGAACCAAAAAATGTCCTACAGAAAGTATTTATTATCCCATGTAGTCATTTTACACAACAAAAAATCTCACAGTCCATTTCAATGTCACAAAAGTAATTCGAATAAAAACAATGGCATTCTTCAATTGAGAATCACCTACTGATTCGTTTGCACACATTACACCTTTATTTCCAAACAATTGCTTCGAACCGGCCCATATTGAGTCAGCTCGGGAATAAATCTCATTTACGCATATAATAGGCAACAAGGGAACGAAGCATGTCAGCCATTTAACATATCGATACAAATAACGTTTTCGGAACCCGTAAACACGCGGCCACGCAACCTGTTTGCAGGTCCCTCACCCCTGCATCGATCTGTTGCGGCGCTGCGCGGCCCAGCAGGCCGGCGCGGGAAGGCGTGAGGGGGGCGAGCGGGTGGTTTAAGTGTGGAGTGGAGAGGGCCGGCGCGCGGTCGTGTCGGGTCGTGTCGTGTCGTGTCGGGTCGTGTCGGTCGTGTCGTGTGTCGGTCGGGTCGGGTGTCGGCGTCGGGTCGTGGTTCGGGTTCGGTCGGGTCGGGACGCGGCGTGGGGTGTGGTAAGGTAGAGGGTGGTGCGTCGTGAGGTGCGTTGTAGCGACGTCCGGGGGAGAGGGTCGAAGAGGGAGAGCAACGGGCGGAGCCGTCCGGAGAAGACGCGGGGTAGCACTGAGGGTCTGTGGTTAACAGGGAGAAGCTGGAAGCGGTGATGGCGTGCGATGCCGGGTGGTGTGGAGAGGGAAGAATAAATGAACGCGATCACAGCGGGCGGGGGGGGGGGGTGTTGGCGCGGGGAGGGCGAGGGGTGCGGGCGTGGGTGCACCAGCTATTCTCCGTCAACTGCCGCCACCCATCCTCCGCAACTCTCGTTCTCGCGTTTTCGGAAGATCTGGATTCGGCGTCCAAACGATATGTTGGCATGAATGGGACCATTAATTAACTGAGAGGCTGTTAGAACGTGATTCTTACGTCTCGAAAGAGACTGCTGTGCGTCAGAAGGCACCTCGTCAATATAAATGTTTCCTGTTTGTGTATTGTACTTTGTGAGTTTTTATGCATCTAAATGGCAATTGTTCACCGCGATTAGAAGTCCCAAATAGAAAAAAAAATTTTTTTGCAGCTTTTCGTTCCACGCCAATACACACTACGAAACATAAGCATCTTGTTCTGTGTTGTCTTCTAATAAGTCCGAAGTGTTGCTCCTTCAATGTGCTTTATATAATCACGACCACTGGATTTCATCAATTTGGAAACTAGCACTGGTGTACAATAACGAAGAAACGTAAACATTTAGATATAAAGACAATGGTTTTAACTTCTGAAGTTTTAGAATTTTTTTGTAAATGAATAGTGATGTTAATTTTTAACAATTATCTGCTGATCCATGGCCTTCCCCTCCTTCGCCGGTAGCCCTGAGCACATCCTTTCTCCATTGCCCTCGGTCGTACACAAGGCGAACAAAGGCGGACTGCAGCTCAGAGAACAATTTAGCCGGAAGTCTGTGTTCTGCTTGTTTCTGTTGGCAACATTGTTCCCGAGAGGCGGTAAAGCTGATACGGCGCGCGGTCAGGAAGTCTGCCTGAGAACTGCTAGCGAAAATCGGAAAAGTAGTTAGGAACTTGTCCGTACAGCTACCTTTAACGCGTAATTCGATGTGAAAGTGTCTGAGGTTTCCTGCAGGGCTTTCCAATTTACATGTAGCTCACAGGCAGATAATGTTTCAGGTCGATTCAGTACTTCCAGCTCTGAATTCATTGCATTGACGTAATAAAATAATCTACCCGCTATTACAATATCCCTCTCTCTGTCAAGAAAATATGAACGTTTTATATGAATATGATAAGTCGCTAGGGACGCAAACACCTGAAAATGTGGTACAGCAGAATAGCGTATTACTCACATGGGTGCACCAAACTGATAGATGAAATGAACAGAAAGTTCTAGATAATAAAATTAATAAATCCGCTTGTGCACATGCAATGTGCAACAACCATCGGCCAAAACATTGCGTCTAACTTGAAAATGGTCTGTTCTTGGCGCTGAAATCCTAGTTTCGTGCCACCATCCGGAACCGAGGTACGCTTCTTACGCCTTGAGGACCTATTACATTTTCGGAGGATTATGTCATTTTTCATTTCTTCTGGGTATCCCCCACCTCTCCGCTGCTCAAATAATCGGAACTTGCAGAATATCAACATTTAGCTACAATTAAATTGACCATTAGCTATTCTGTGCAATTTAATCCTACTCTTTTTCTTTGCTAAACTCTAAGAATGTTTACCCCCCTCATAGTTCTAAGCATAGTATGTGATGAAACGCGAAGTTCAGGGTCTGGCCGTTAAGCTGGGTTCCAAGATTTTCTCTGAGGAAGAGAAGAGGTTCGAGACTTCAGACTCGCGTAACTACTCTCGGGAATCTCGAAATTTCTCCAAAACATTTTTCCCGAGCTACATTCTATGAGATATTAAACGAATATGGGGAATTATACCAAAGATAATTATCAGCGTTGTAACGTTTATGGGAAATGGTGCGTCAGGTTTGTGTGTTTATCAAACATCCAAATACTTTACACTGTTTATTTTGCAAGCGAGTTATCATCATCGAGAACACGTGGCCAGTAAATATTTTGGACACTATGTAGGAACACTATTTCCGGAAGTATTCTAAATACAAACTATCTACTAAAGAAATCATGTATACTATTTGTATTTCCTATAGTTATACGCCGAGTAACAACTTCTAATTTCGGTGGTACTTTTTTTGAATTTGGGCGGGAATAAGACCGACTCCGATTGTCATTATGTTTTCCTCCCAGTTTCTTTTGACCCGTTCCGCAGTTACTGAGATGTCTTCTTCTTCTTCGTCTTCTTCTTCTTCGTCTTCTTCTTCGTCTTCTTCGTCTTCTTCTTGTCTTCTTCTTCTTTCTTCTTTCTTTCTTCTTCTTCTTCTTCTTCTTCTTCTTCTTCCTTACTTCTTCTTCTTCCTTCTTCTTTCTTCTTCTTCTTCTTCTTCTTCTTCTTCTTCTTCTTCTTCTTCTTCTTCTTCTTACTTTTCTTCTTCTTCTTCTTCTTTTTCTTTCTTCTTCTTCTTTCTTATTCTTCTTCTTCTTCTTCTTCTTCTTTCTTCTTCTTCTTCTTCTTCTTCTTCTTCTTCTTCTTCTTCTTCTTCTTCTTCTTCCATTACTACCATTGGCGAGTCTCCAGAAGACCGCAGCGCCTTCTTGTGAGACTTATCCTGAGGAAGTATACCTAGTAGTTCGCCATTGCTTTCCCTGTGGGCGCTAGTTCACCAAATTTAACGTTTGATTTGAATATCCGCAACCTTATCCAGTAATTCAAATCGAAACTCCGATTGGTGCTAAATTGCTAGAGAAGTTAATTTTGCCAGGATCGACCAAGTGCCTTTCCAATGCTTTGTTTTATATATTGATAAGAGACCGCATGCATGCCGTCGATTTTTGGCACCTCAAAAATCCCCGCACGTTGACCGGGTTTTAACCCGCAAACGTGAGATTAGTAGCCCGGCATGATAACCACTGTACCACCAAAACCGATAATGTTTTCTTGAGGTCTAATTTTGATGCAAGAGGAGTCGAGTGTGTTTAGCTATTTCATCAAGAATATTTTTAGATCCAATCCGGCACTTGTTTGCTGATGCAACTACATTCTATTACTGGGGATCAAAAATGCATGGCTATTAAAATATTGACGGCAACACTCGTTACTACCTCGTACGTAATTCAACTATGTGTAGTAAGAGGGTAAGGGTTCTGGGGAGAAGAAAATATGCGCAGACTTCCACCCGCACGTTCCGTTCAGCTTTTGCCGCTTTTGCCGCTTTTGCTCGCGGCTTCAGCCGTCGTTTAGCGCGTTGCTCCGGCATCCGCCAGGAACTTATGCGAGGAAAGACGGAAACGAGCCTTTAGGGGACGGCGTTTAGATTTGCCCTGCAGGCAGAGGCTTCGTAGGATCAGATTTTTAGCTGGTGGCGCAACTTTGTCATCGTTGGTACTCGAATCTAGATCTTCCTACGAAACTTCAGTACCGAACTCACAACTGCGGTTAAGTCCAATTCAATTACGTTTTCCGATGGTAATGAAAATACCAACATCGGTGGCGTAAAGGCACCTCCCTACCGCTTGAGAGTACCAGGGATTGAGAGGTGCCGGTTTCGAACCCGGCAAGGTACTTGATGTGTTTCAAATCAGCTGGAATCGCTGCCCACCGGAATTTAATTCATAGGGCGACTGTTCTGATAAGCGGTTTCCCTGATTGCTTCCAGGCGAATGCACCCTGTACCAGCTACTCTGGACGGCACACGATCTTTCCTTCCCGAGAAACTGGTAGAGCCTGGCCCGTTCGCGGGCTGTCACGCCAAATAGAGACAGACTAACCTATCTTAAAATAATATCTTTCTCTTATGCATCGCACTAAAAATTAGAATACTCTTATGTCATCTTATGCTCAGATATACTTCGAATCGGTTTAATTGTTCGAAAGTTTCCTTTGTGACCTTTTTATGCAAAATACATGATAATTTCTCTTATAAAAATGGTTAGTACGTTTATAGAATTTCTCTTTGTACCCCTTGCGATGAGTTCTTCTAGCGGAACCCAGTGTTTACTTAGTTCTGAGAAGCAATCCAGAGACTTGCAAACACAAGTGTGGATGTTTGCAGCTTTATGGGAAGTTACACCTAAGATGACCCGACTGACGGAATCGTTCCCTTGTCTGCAAGAAGCTCCGGGCGGTCGAGAAGTTGGGCAGCGCCCGCCCCAGTCGTCAAGTACGAGTAAACTGACCGGCGGCCTCTTCGCGGAACGGATGTGGAAACAGCCCGTGAAAACGGAAGCGTGCCTCGCTCTTCGCGAGGGATTCGCCTACCGCCGCGACCGCCCCGGTTGCACCCACCGCCGGCCACGTTTAGTAATAACAATAATAACAATAATACTAAGAATAAAACTAAGAATAATAATAACAATAACACCAACAATAACATTAATAATAATAACACTAATAATAACACTAATAATAATAATAACACTAATAATAATAACACTAATAATAATAACACTAATAATAATAACACTAATAATATTAATAATAATAACCAGAAATTATTTGTTAAAATATTATAGAGATGTAAACACTGTTAAAAATTAAAATTAAACTTCCGTAGAATAATTGTTGTAATTTTACATCATGGGGAGAACTGGTTCACAAATTTACAGTTCAGGTGATAACATTTTACAGAT